AAGGACACTCAGAGAACTCGAATTTCACGCGTTTATTCTTCTTTCTTCAACTTCGACGTAAACGGTAGATGTAAATCGTATTACAATGATAAGAGCACTGTACTTATACTAGTGAGAAACAAGTCTGCATCATCCTAGGTACAATTGAAAGAAGGCTAAATAAAGTCAGCTTGAAAGCTGAAAGTAGGCTGAATAAGAGGAGCTGCTTGATGATTAAAGCCAGTTTGAAGCCTAGATAAATTCAGCAGACGAATGGCGACCTTAACAACTTGAGCTAGTTTCGCATGTACACCCGCTATTTGTAGTCTCGGCCTAGAAAGCTGTGTTAGCGCAGCTTAAATTTGTATTTTCAGCCTTGAAAGCTGTGTACAGGCAGCTTGTTCAGCCTGCAGAGCTGTTTACTGGAAACTTACATCAATTTACCTACGGAAAGATTAAATTTACTTTTTGTAAAATGTTTGTTTGAACAGCGAGAACTACGATTGCCTTGAATAAGCACTTTTTAACGCGATTACAACACATATTCATCTTAAGCAAACACTGAGTCTATTTAAAGTACATCATTGTAATTTCTATTTGAACAAGCTTGGCTAAAGCTAACCTTGAAATCGAACAGAAGAAACTCCCCTCAAAACACCAAAGATGGCCTTTATAATTCCTAAGTTATTTAATCAAAACCCCCCTAACAATTTTGACCTGTCGCGCCGCGATCATCATCTCATTATTATCGATCATTATCGATCAACATTGATTCAGAAAATTTTCTAGGATCAGTTTGTGCAATTGAAAATAGGTATCACGCGACAAACAAGCATTTTAAACAGACATTTTTTTGTTTTATTTCCTCGGAGATATTAGCCTAGTCTAGCTACTCTAAATTCGAGATTAAATAAAGCCGTGTATGTGTGCATGTCTGTTTACATTTGGCGGCTGGCGAGTTCATGACAATGCACGCAAAGTTTCTGAGGTCCATCGATTTGAGTCACCTCTATTTACTAATATGATATTTTGTCAGATTTGTCACTGTCGCCAAATTCGTCGTTCTCGCTAAATTCTCCACCCTTTTGGGGCCTTTCTATTTGAGTCATCTCTGTTCACTCATATAATTTTGTTAACAAATTTAGCGAAATTTCATCACATTTGTCACTTTCGCCAAAGTCGATCTAGCCAAGCGATCTCTATTCACTCGTATAATTTTGTCAACTTGTTAGGCGAAATTTCGTCAAATTTGCACTATTGACAAAATCTTCAAAGATTCACAAATTTGGTCAAATCGGTAAATATCGTCAAAAAATTTCGGCTAGTCTGTTATTTTCGTTACTGCGTGCATATCTAGACATATGTCATGAAAACAGTGACGGAAAATGAAATAATCAACAGACAACTGCGAGTATATGCATATGGACAGGGACGTCGGAAGCCCTTAATTACAACACGAAACCGCTGTATATAAAAGGCACTGGACTGTTTAACCCCCTCTTAATTGGCAGCCGAGATGTCCATCATGCTAATCACTAAAGCATACAGATCTCTCGTGAGCTCCTTGTCCGCAGGTTAGTACTGTAAACTTGTAGTTTTTTGTTCGATGGTCAGTCCATTCAAAGAGTACTTTTGGAGTACAATAGAGTCCAATTACCGAGACTTTTCAAAGATTTTTCGTTGCAATCGAAAGTTTTTGTTCTTGAAAAAATCGCATATCTGTGGATTTCAAGCTGTAGGAAAGGCAGAGAGGAGCAAAGACACTAACCTGATAATGAAAAGTGAAAAAAAAAAAAAATAATAATAAATAAATAAATAAATAGCATCGTTGCCATATATAGGAGTAAGAGCTAGATGTAAAAGTTTAAGCTGCCTTAAATTCGGAGCCCAAATGTAAATAAGTTTAAATAAAGTTTTATGTCAAAATAGTCATGTGCAGTTTAAGCCCAAATTCAGCCTTGCAGACAGAATTGGATGTAGGCCTTTTCACTACTTTAACAAGTTTGTCGAGGAAGACACATTGTTAAGTCAATGTGCGGTTTTGAGAAATTTGGAAAGATGAGAAAATATATGTTGCAGGGAATCGCAAAAGGATCTGTTCATTGAAAAATTTGTTCCTCAGCCGATTTAATGCTGACTGGGCGAACCACTGGTCACTCACCATTATTAGTTAATCTAACTTTAACCTGAATCGGGATGTTACCCATGGGTTTGATCTGGTTTGTGGTTTGATTGCCTGAACTTCTCTCCTTCTATCCAACCACCCCAACTGCCCACCCCAACTCCCCACCCCCACGCCCTTCCCCAGCCCAGGAACCAAACCCCTAAATGTGTTTAGTGTATTTAAATTCGGATGCTGTGTCTGCTGGCTAACAAAGTTTCAGGCCCCGTCCACATAAACTACACGGAAGGAATTTGAAAACTGAGGCTTTACTCTAAAAACGCATCAAATGTTTTCCGTCCAC